CATTTCAACATTGAATTTTATTACACATTTAAGAGAACAATTCAGCATTTTTATCCTTTAAATATTCTTCCATCTCCATGTGGATACGACACCCAAAGCCGCACTACAACTACCGCGTCATTCTTTGGGTGTAATCAGAGCCGAAACTTCTAAACTTGCACTCGACAAATTTTTTTTTTGTTTTCCTAGTTTTTGTTACTTACTTCTCTCTAGAACATTTGTTGGATATGTATTCATTACAATATCATATTTTGGTTCGTTTTAACTTGGTATTATCTTGTGGATTGTTCTTGAACATTCCAATTACCAACACGTTAATATGGTTATTTCTTTATATTGCAATAAAAACGAATGTGTATAATATTTCGGATTGGATTATCGGATCGGATATCCAATAATATAGCAAATCAGATATGGATTTAACAATCAAATATCCGTCGGATTATCGGATCGGATTCGTGAATTATTCTTATCGGATCGGATTAGATATGGGTAGATCCGGTCCATATCCGATCCATTGACAGCCCTACTAACATAGCTGATTTGTTCTTTAAGGAAATAGTGTGTTTACACGGGGTCCCAAAGAGTATACTGTCTGATAGAGATGTTAAATTTCTTAGTCACTTTTGGCGGGTTTTGTGGGGTATGTTAGGCACGAAATTATTGTTTTCTACTACATGTCACCCATCGATGGACAAATTAAAGTAGTCAATAGGACTATGATTCAATTGTTGCGCAATGTGATTAATAAAAAATTGAAAAGTTGGGAAGAATACTTACCTTTTGTTGAGTTTGCTTACAATAGAGCTATACATTCTACTACTTCATGTTCATTGTTTGAAATTGTTTATGGTTTTAATCCATTAATGCCATTGGATTTAATTCATTTACCTGTGAATGAATGTTATAGTTTAGATGGGAAAAAGAAGGTCGAGATAGTGAAGTCACTCCATGAGAAGGTGAAATTACAAATTGAAAACAAAAACAAGCATTATGCGTCACAATCTAAGAAAGGTCGGAAGAACGTTTCATTTGAACCCGGTGATTTGGTTTGGTTACATTTGAGAAATGAGCGCTTTCTAGAGCAAAGGAAATCAAAGTAGCAGCCATGAGGAGATGGACCATTTCAAGTTCTCTAGAAAATAAATGATAATGCATACAAGCTGGATCTTCCTTGTGAGTATAATGTTTCGGCTACTTTTAATGTATCTGATCTCTCTCTCTCTCTTTGATGCAGGTAGCACAGTATCGACCCACCATTCCCTTAAATTTCCAATGTTGTTACATCAGAAACAATCGCTGAAAGATTCATATCTAGTAACCCTTTAGAAAGGGTATCACTTTCAAACATATTTGCTTGTGCGTTCTTCTTTAGCTTTCGATATTCGTTAGAACGATGTTTGGCTTTTTTACAATTGTAATAGTTGTCTTTAAACTTTTGGCATTTTTGGAGTTGTCTCTTTTTGGTGGATCATCGGAGATCTTACGCTTCTTGTTGACAATTTGCGAACCAGTTTCAACAAAATTTGCTCCAAATTGAACAATAGACTTTCTTTCAATTTTTCTATTTTTTTCTTCAATCCTCAAATGGACTATCAATTCCTCCAAGTTTATCTCATTGTGTTTGTGCTTGAGATACTTCTTGAAATCTCTCCACATAGGAGGGAGTTTCTTAATGATGGATGCAACTTGAAAGGATTCACTCAATTCCATCTTTTCCGCATAAATGTCATGAAGTAGAACTTGTAGTTCTTACACTTGACTAATGACGATTTTGGAGTCTAACATCTTGTAATTAAAGAACTTTCCAACTATAAATTTCTTTGTGCCAGCGTTCTCCGTTTTGTACTTTTGCTCTAAAAAATCCCAAAGTTCATTGGTCGACTTCATAGCACTATACACTCCATAAAATGTATTGTCCAATCCATTTAGGATGTAGTTTTTGCATAGTGAATTTGAGTGTTTCCGTGTATCCAATGCAATAATCTATTCACGATTATTTTTCCATTCTTGTATCGCTGTAGGGTTTTCGGTTAAGAACTAAAATATTTTTTGTTGCCATCTCTTGAAGTCCTCTCCTCCAAATTTATCCCATTTTTCCCCATGTAGATGTAGGATTGGAGTATTTTGAAGTGGTATAAGCAAAAGTAGAACCACATTGTTTGTTCCATTTATTACTTAACTTGAAGTAGTCTCAACGATATTGATTTCTGTTATGTAAACAGAATTTTAACACAAATAAAATTCAAGAACATAATAGTACAAATGTCTATTCCAAAGATGAAGAGAACAATGTATGATCCAACAAACAATGAACACAAATCTTGTCTTAAGATTATTGGTTATGGTATAGTGAAATGGTTGTTGATTAAAATGACAAAGTAATATTTTAAGTTTAATTCGTAAGAGCGTAATTAAGCCCTCTATGAAATTGAAGCAAAAAAGAAATAAATAAAGAAAGTGAAGAAAAATGAGAAAAATGAAATTCGAGGCAAGTGATTAACACTTTTTTCTTAAGACAAAATTGTCCCGCAATCGTGCTAACGGATTATGGCACTTGTCTCCCAAGATATAACGGATACAACTAGTGGTAGAATCACTTCAAACCATAAGCAACAACAAACTCAAACGAAATTCTTCCCTCTATAAGAAGATGATTTTTGGAATGGTTTTTGGAGAGTTTTTTCAAGAGTTTTTGATATAATGCTCAATGCAAATGATATGGAATGCATAATGGACGTCCAAAGTGTTTTATTTATAGAAGATGAGGGGTTATAAGTGAAGTGTCACGCCCCAACTCAGCAACCTTCACGAAGGAAAGCATTCATTGTTGTTGCTAGCGTGTTGCTGGCTTTTCGCTCGAGCAACAGTGACACTTGTTCATTAGAAACTCTGTCATCCTCTTGTAACTCGAGCGACAGTCTCAACGCTCGAGCGCTAGGCGAGCGATAGAGTTAGACAAATTTCCTAGCCAGTTTTTCCTTTTTTCTTTCCAACTTTGGACCGTAATTTTTCATTCATTCAAAATTTGTTTTGAGCCATGTGTTCATCAAAAACTCTGTCGCCCTCCCGTCGCTCGAGTGCTAGGTGAGCGATGAAGTTCGGTAAATTTTCCAGCCAGTTTTTCCTCTTTTCTTTCCAACTTTGGACTGTCATTTCTCATTCACCCGGAATTGGTTTTGAGATTCCAAATATACCACGACGATCTACTCGACGAGTAGAATAAGTTTGTTTATTATATTTATAATTTGATTATGATATCATGTCCGAATATTTGGTCGAAATTGACACAAAGTCACTTTTTAAATTTTATACTTGACTAAATTTTCCAATCTTTAAACCAAATTTCAACATAGTAAAAATTATTTTCTAAATAAGTATCTCTTTTGAGTTTTGACTCAAATGCAAGTAAAAAATGAGTTTTGTGAAGATTGTAAGCTTTTTATGATGTATCAACTCATTTTACATTGAATGTGATATTTCTCATGGTTTTGAGTTCCAATAATTTTGAAGATGAAGGCAAACATTGTCCCAAATTTATTGTTTCCTTGATTAACTTTAAATATATTTTGACACGTCAACGTATCATATCTTAAAAAATAGGAAAACAATATGATGTAATATGTCAATGTAAAATATATTGGGATAGCAAATCTCAACTCATGAGTAGTCAAATTGAAAAACATAACAAAATTTTCCCATATCCATTACCCTTTCAAAAATAATCTAATTTAAGTAGTAGTTACAAAATCTACATCTTCAAATTCATCAACAATCATCTCATCTTTAAATAGGATTTTTAGGTATTTCCAACAATTTCAGAAGAGCGGGCAAATTTGCACACAACTTTAGTTTCTCGATCAGAATAGTATTCTTTAACATGTCAATCTGATTCTAATTCCCTTAAATCTTTTGAAATATCAAGATTCTATCCTCCAAAGTCAATTTGATGAAATGATAATGAACCTGTATATACTTCGTTTATATATGATAAATAAGATTTTTTACTAAGGGATGTCTGGGAAAGCTCTGATTTGTAGTTAAATTGTAACCGTTGCTTTTCATTGTCTACAATACTTTAAAGCAGAATGTCAGACATGACAGCCGCAATTTTGGATCATTTAATGCCGAATGACCTTTTTGCCCTTAACATTTAATTCATTTTTCATGATAAGCAGGCATTTTCGGTATTTCATTTTTAGAATGTCAAAAATTGCTGTCAAAATGGGACCCATGTTCAAATGAGTAATGGTCAATTAATTGCTAAAATTGGGGAAAAAGCTCTCGCAGACAGACGCTAAGTGAATAACACTATCACAATTCAACACACTATTGTCACGCTTTTGACCCAATTCTTCCGAAGAAATTGAAGACTACAACCATATCATCTCTTTTGCCAACTTACTTTGCCTCAGTAGTAGAAAGAGCAATTATTTTATGCAATTTAGACACTCAATTAATTGTTGTATAACACTATCGATTACTATCCAATTCAAATGTCGAACATGCATCAAGAGTACTAATTTAACAAAAACAAGGACACCAAATAAGGTAGAGTCTCAGAGAAAAGAAATCTAGAGATGCTAACAAACTCTTATAGAAAGCAGCAATGGATAATTTTCTAGAGTGAGTGAAATTTGATGGAGTAAAGCTGCATGAATGTAGAAGGCCCGCAGATCATTGACTCCTTTTCGTGGAGAAGAAGCAATGACGATATGTGGTGAATAAAAATCGGTTAACTTAGTGTCAGCAGCCGCAATAAACAAAAGATGCAAACATTATCCAAAATTATTGAACGAACCTTATTTCTTACAACTGAAAAACTTCAATATAGGAAATAAAAGTACAAAAAATCTTCCTTTACAACGTTTTAAGAACATTTGATTATTTAGAAGCTGAATTTGAAAATAGAAAAGAAATACTTTCCTACTATTTTGTTCTTTGAATCTTGTTACACCAGTCAAAATTCTTTCATCGGACAAGTACGGTTGATGAGAGCTTCATCTATGAGTACGGAGATTGTCACCGGACAAGAAGGAACGGATTAGGGTGAGGGCCTCGCTTGGCTTGTTCAGAGGTACAAGATGACCGGCCCCTCTAACTGTTATGAAAGTCAAGCCCTCGTATTCCACTATCCTCCCTGCTACCTGCATTTGATGAAATAGAATAACATAAATTCTTAGGGTTTCTTATATTTGCTCGAACAGAACATCTTGTTCATTTTACATTAGCAAAATATCGAGGTACAGTATTTAAACTGAAGAAAAATGGCAAAACATGCTAGTTTCTTGTAACCTTGCATCTTAGAGTTAGAATCTACTGCATATCCATTGTGAAGAGGTAAAACTCTAGCGCATGTTTGGTATGCAAACAATATGATTCCAACTTCCCCTTTTTTTTTAATAGTGATTGATTCGTCCAATCCTCCGAGCCAAACATGTATCTAAGGTATTTTGACAAAACCAGTAAAGCAAGTGTGACTAGTCTACAGACATCTTTTCCAGTTTCACATTGTTCTACAAGAAAACATGTTTGATGACGAGAAAAACATCAATAAACCTGGGTCATATGCGATCATAGGCAATGTTCCAAATTGAGTTCTGCAACTATGAATTGGCAATAATACTTCCACATCTCAAGTACCCAGCCTCTTGTATTTATCATTTTTCATAACAACTTTTCCTTCTTATTCTCTAAATACTTGTGAACATATAGAACCCAGATTGTTGTCTAGTTCTAAACAAGTTTTAGTTTATCAAGACAAACCTGATGGTTGTGGTACCAAGAAGTCCATGGAGTCTTGAGGGGCAGTTTTAGAGCTTCAACACAGTATCTTGAACCTATTACTGGCACTCGGCCATCTGCATCTCCACTGTTACAGAAACGCCAAATAGTCCATGATCTTGTTGATAACGTTACAATTAATTGCTATATTTTATGAAAAAGGAATGAAATGAGAGTTTCTTCCTAATATCAATTTTTCCCGTGTGATCCTGAAAAAGAAATGTTCCCGATAAGGAGAGGGAGGACTAGACCTGAATGGCATAATGTGACTCGTAAGGATCTAGATACTTTGGATCTTGGAAGATGTAGCAATGAACTGAACGGACCAAATTTATTGACAATAAGACTTTAGTTTACCCAAAGATACTCTTAGTTTGTCATTGTTGGATTTGCACAAACTATATACTCATTTACCTGAATTCTATAATGTTTCAAGAAGTTGTGTTCACCAAAAAGGATGCTTTAAATGACCACAAAAATGCAAATGAGTTAAGTAGTAAAAACTACTGATAGCAAAAGTAATAGAGGAAAACAGGTACCTGTAAATCCAAATCCTGATTCCACCTTTGATGAGCTTTTTGTATATCGGAAAGATGGAAAATACAGTATAATTATACGTCCTAAATACAGAATTACTGCAGTGAACCATTTAAAATGGAAAAGGTTATCGAGAAATAACAGTCAATTGAAGATAATACGGCAAGTGAGTGTTCTATTGATGAAAGCAAAACTGTAAGAAAGCTATCTTACCTGCAGACTGACCATTTTACACTAGCGTCCTCTCCCCTGGTGTTCACATTGAGGGCAGCCTGAACATCCTTCCTGTTGAAATACGCTTCGGCGTATGTAGAATAGCAGGGGTCATACCCTCCAGGGATCCGTTTCATCCTCCTGAACCCATAATTTTGTGCCTGATAAAATACTGATGGCTTCAGAAAGTGCTTCTAGCTAGCTTGTAACTCAACATATGATTAACATAAGGGCTATGTTTGGTAAGCAGTACTAGATAACATTTTAACTTATTTATTTCTCAATAAACATGCCAAAAAAGGCCTAGTTTCAAGAATCACCTTATCATTTGAAAATTCAGTTCCACTAGTAATACCATAAGCAGTAGATGATGTCTCGTTGAGAACACATGATGGGACATAGATGTTGTAAATGTCGATCTCGTTGTATCTATTGAAGACTGAAGACATGGCGATGTTACATTTGCTTGACCAGTTCTCGAGATAGAAGTTACAATCTCGCCTAGCTTTATTGTACTCTTGATCTGAAATTACAGAGTGGCTCCATGCATACTCGAGAAGTCCTTTATAATCATAATAGTCATTTGTTTCCGGATTTCCTACCTGAAAATCATCAAATACTTTAGTACCAAGTATTTACTATTTCTATCAATCATGCTCAAATTTCCGGGAGTAATTGCACAATTTGTAAAATGTAACTGAGAAGACCAAGTATGAAAGTCGAACGTACTATGAAACCTTTTAGATTAATGAATGGATATGTCTTTCTTTTCTTATTCCTGACGTATACAAGTTCTGCTAGTTGAGGTACATAATGACCTACAAATAACACAAAATATGTAGCCTCAGGTAAGAGAAATAGCCGATTAATATTGATTTCTGCCAGAAACAAAGTTCGGGATAATGTTCATCTAACCTGCATAACTCTCCCCTGATATGAAAAATTCATGACTTTTGAATTGTGGGAATTTTTTCAGCCAATTCACCAAAAAGTTGTAGGCATCCTCAGCTGAACAGAGACTCAAAATGCATATATAACACAATGGCTATATATCATAATGACAGCACAAGATATTATATGAACATGTTTGGCTAAGCTTAAAAAGTTCGACAATAAGTAAATAGTAATTCTTAAAATATTTTTTTATTAAAACTGAAAATAAGTCAATTATTCAGTTAGGAGTTGCTTTAAAAGAAGTAACCTTTTTAACTTAAAAGCAAGAAAAAGTGAGCAAAAAAACTGCTGCTACTTTTTTTTGAGCTTAGCCAAACATGCTTACACGATTTCCATCGACTTTCATGGACAGTGAATTACCTACAAATCCATCGTCTAATTTGGTGTAATCAGCAGATGTATTGGAGTATGAGAACCCAACTCCAATAGGAGATTCCAGAAAAAGCAAATTGGCTTCTGCAAGATAATTAAATCCTTGAATACCAGTCTAATTACAATCAGTTCAGACCTCTAAATAATCATTTTCTTTTCTTGGTCTACTCATAATCCTTTTCTTTCCCTTTTACTTATTTCTACTTATTTTACTGTTGACTACAAGTCTAAAAATTTAGAAGAAAGTATTCGACAGTATTTTATATAAGAAAAGAAGCTACTATAATGTTCATAATACTGTGGAGTCCTGCACGAGACCTTTAATCCATGAGTGCTCATTGAAGTCAAGACCAGTTCCCTTCTTGCTAACTACAAGAGGACCCAACTCCACAGCTGCTCCATATCCAATTGATGAACAACCAGGCCCTTCAAAAATATCACACACACCAATCAAAAACTACTGACAAATAATAATAATAAATTATATTTGCCTAAGAAAATAATTGATTACCTCCATTAAGCCATAATAGAAGAGGCTTTTTGGTAGGCTCAAACAGAGCTTCAAAAAACCAGTAGAAAAGGGCCCTCCCATGAGCTTCATTTACTGTGATGTGCCCTGAAAACTGCGAAACTGGTGGATTGGGTGGTTGCCCAGGTAGTTTAATTACTCTGTGTTCCTGGGACCTGGGTTTTTCAGCATTAATGCATGCAATAAATGGAAAAAGAAAACCAGTTAAAAATAATAAGAATCTATTACGGTTCGTTCTTGCAAGTACCATGTTTAGTTTATTGCATTTACTGTGGAGAGAAGAAGTATAGAGTGAGAGTGAGGATGATGACAGAGAGTTGACTGATATTTAGGTACACATACAAGAATCCAAGCTGTCAATGCTTTGCTTTTCAAAGGAAAGATTGGCAGTGCAAGTGGGAACTTTGCGACCATGTTTGGTGTAGTACAAATGATCGTTTGATTGAATCTCAAGTGCAATTATAGCCCATGTTTGGCTACTGACTGTTTATCACAAGTAATCTTTACAAGACCTACATATAATTTTCTCTTATTTTTCACTAATTTTTTTCTATTTATAATTTAAATGACTCGTAAACAACTCCCAAACATGTCATTCAACTTACATAATCAAGATTCATGTCATTGGTCGAATCAAAATAATCATTTAAAGTCACTTTAGGTTTCGGTTTGTCACTCCTCTTGGAGTGTTCAAATTGGATTCTATTGGTTTGTTTATTATAAATATTGTATTTTTTTCAAACTGTAGTACTTGTTGCGTCTATGAGTTGGCATCTTTATTCATGGATTGATTATAGTACTTTATTTCTGCTTTCTCAGCGATTTGTTTAAATAAAAGTACACTTCAAGATAGTTAGAGCTTATTTGAGAGAGATTTTTGGGAGAAGAATTGATTTTGAATAGTGATATGATGGAAAATATATGGTTAAAAAAGAAGAAAAAATTATTGATGTGATGGAAAATATTATTTTATTGAAGGACGTGTGGTTAAAAATGAGAATTGATTTACTGTAGAAAAATTTAATTCCTCCCAAATAGGGCCTTAATGTTTTAACAGAATTTAGTCCCGATGGTAATTAAAATCAAAATTTTTTTGTAAATTTTGATAGTCTGACTAACTTTTCCCAAAAGTTTATGGAGTGAATTTTACTATTTGTACATTGGACAGTGTACAAGTCCCCTCACAGATAAGGTGTCCACACCCAAATAAAAAATCGTGAGCCCCCCTTTGTGAGGAGGCCTGTACAACGGGATGTCAATCCCGTGTACAAGTAGCAAAATACTTATGAAATATATGGTTGAAAATTTATGAATCAAATTAATTATTTTCCACCCTATCAAAAACTAGGTTGTCCAAACAGACCGTTAACCTTTGTTTGGTGCACATTTTGAATCCAAGAATGTATTTTTTTTGTTTGATGTGATGTAAAATGTGTGGATGAAAAAGTAAGAAAAATTATTGATGTGATGAAAAATGTGTGATTGCAAATGAGTAAAAGAATGACATTGAAAAAAATATAGACCCTTAATTATGTAGAAGAGGAAAAAGTAGTAAGATATGGCAGACCACAGGCCTCCCGTGATGACTGGTACATTTGTCTTGCACTATAAACAAAATTCAAACAAGAAAATATAATCATCAAATTATAAAAGATGGAAATGATAGATTCTGCCAATAATAAACGTGCTTATCGGGTATTTTAAGCAACGGTAGACCTTTAGTGGGCCGACTCAACATTAATAGACTGAAACCGATTGATTAACATTTGACAATGATGCTATCTAACATCAATAGTGTTGAACACCAATTTAAATATCAATATATCAAACATCCGATTAAATAGGCTAGAATTCATTGTATTTAATTGAATATGTAATTAAAAGCCTATTTGATTCCCATTAATTGGGAAAAAAAATGAGTTTTAAATGGTATTTTTGGAAAAATGTGTGGTTAGAAAGAATGAAATAATTTTTATTAGCAAATCCATTTGTACATAAAGGGATTTGCCAACAAATAATTTCCTGCTCACATGGGGGTGGGCCCACCCCCATGTGAGAAATATATTGAAAAAAAACCACCCCCACCCCCTTATTGTATCTGTTTTCTTTTTGTGCATTCTGCTTCTGTACGTGAAGCAAAACTCATTTTCTATATACATGTAAAATATTTTATTATGTAAATGTGTGATTAAAAATGACCATATAGCAAACCATAAAATAAATTAATGAATTTCAAACAAGCACTAAATCTCACTGGTACTGCCACCTAGAGTGGTGGTAAACAGTAGTGGTGCTAAATGACATTTATACTTGAACGAAATGAGGATTGGGTAGTTCGAGCTTGGATTATAAGGGTAGTACTAGTGATGTCAAAAAGTTCGGGGGCCCGAGCTTGGCCCCAAAAAAAGCCCAAGTCGGGCCGATTCGTGGCTCAGTGGCTTCGAGCCTCGGCTCGGGCCGAGATTGGATTAAGTTTAGGTGCATTTTTTTTATATATTAATATTTAGTTATTATTTATAATACGTATAAATTGCACAAATTTTAAATACATTATAAAACAAATTATAGATTTATAACAAATTAAAAAAAAAAACGAGTCAGCTCGGCCTCCTCTGGCCCAAAAAAGCTCGGACCGGTTTTGCTCAAGCCGAGCCCAAGCTTTGAGTTTCAGCTTGTTGACATGGCTAGGTAGTACAAGCTTTGTAACAAATTTTGTCGGCTGTAAATCTAATATGGAATACAAGTCTGTGTCTACAATTTACATAGAGCAGCAAATCATTAGACTTTACAGCTGAAATAGATACAATCGTAATTCCCACATGAAAATAAGGGTAGAACATGGTGAAATTATTATTAAAAACTTAAATCAAAGCCTTCGAAAGCCATATGGAGATCTCCTTTCGAGATCTGCAATACCCACAAAAATTCTCAGAGCAACAAGTAATTTTAATCCTCATTATCTATACTCAATGCTTTCAGACGGTTAAAAACCCAATCAAATACTAAGAATCCAAAGTGCTGTCCCAGAGTAAAAAGTGGCAACAATTATCAAGATTTAAGAGCATATTTGGAATGAAGTATTGGACAATATTGCATAGGATTAGACAATTTTAATTTCTTTTTGTTCCTCAGTACATACCAAACGTGCAGCAACTATGAAACAGAACAGAAGGTTTGACAAGCTTACCTCGCTGAACGGTCGTTATTATCATGCACTTAATTCGAGCTGCTCAAGAACCAAGTCCTCAATATCTATCTGAGTGTTTGCCTTCTTCCTAAGGGACAAAGGTCGCAGGATGGTTCGTGAAAAACGGCTTAATGGATCCTGAAGACCTTCCATTTCATAGTGTCCAAATCGCCAGTCTCTTTCTATATAAGGCCGCATTATTGGTTTGTCAAGGCCTCCTGTTGAAAGAATATATAGACAGAGATAGCTATGAGGTGGCACAAAATGCTGTGGAATAAAAATTACTCAAATTAATCAAATGAGAAGCAATTTATAAACATTAACTTGATTGTTCTATCTAGAAACAGGTCCTACTGCAGCCCACATTAGTAGTGGCCATGAGATAAAATGATGTTGCTACAAACTCTATTTGACTATTTTCCTACAGTACTCATACCAGGAAAGGACTGGACTGGGAAATAAACAGGATATTAGCTTTCTTTTTTTCTCCTTAATACTATCCAATACTGTCTAATCCTCCTTACTCAAACGTGTCAATAAGTTCTCTATCTTCCAAGTAAAAAGAAACGACATCCTTTTTAGGCTTTGAAAAACTATTTCCAAGGAAAAAGAAGACAAAACTATCTGAGAGCAAGTTTGCACGATCCATACTTAAAGTTAGTTATAACAGGATATAAAGGTTTTTGAAAGGGGTTATTAATGATTTAAGAGCTCTTCCGGAAAGAGCTCCCCTTGGTATGCTTACGAGTTCACTAGCTGTTTTCTGAGTCAAAAAGCTGGACTGCCATAAAATAACCTAGATTTATTCCCCTTGTACTTGCCTACTGTACTGAAACTCCCGGATCCGTTAATGAAGTTAATCACTCTAACGAATCTACAAGACCATGCTCAAGGGTCTCTCTTTTGCTGATTGAAGAATATAGTCAACTAAACGAAGGTACGAACATGTAAAAAACATAATTACAAGTCCAAAATAGTCGAGTTCTGAAAATATTACCAGCATACATGAAACCATGTTTATTAACTGCTCGATAAAATGGCCTTGTTTTCTTTTCTTTAGCAGCTCTTAGAAGTTCATGCCATGCACGTGCTCTATCTAGGCGAGTAATCTTCCCCGAGGTCACCACCTGTCATTAGGGTGTCAGTAACTACTTTACTAGCCAGATAGCTAGTCTTGATTTGACTGATGAAAAGATAAATTTTTTACTTTCGAGAACAAATGATATGATGGACGTGGAAGCCGCGCAAGATTATTGGAACGATCAACTGCAACCAGTCCAAATTTTGGACCATAGCCATCAGCCCATTCCCAGTTGTCAGATATAGTCCAGAACAGGTATCCAAGGACAGGAACACCCTACAATGACACCAAGAGGTCTATGTAAAAAAGTTCAACATAAAGTACTTGAAGATATAGTATTTATAAGCAAAGTTCACAATCAAAACCATGATCATCGCAGCATAAGTTGCCAATAGATGTTCCAGCAGATAAGGTCTCCTGATCAAATCTGTCTCATCAGATACACCATTTTCAGTAATTATAAATGGCACACCAAGATGTTCATATCTTTCGTGAAAATGTAGTAGCACGCGGAACAAGCCATCAGGATACACCCCACGTCCAGATTCACTATACTCGTCAGTCTCAACGAGTTTCAATCCAGTGCCAGAAACCACTTCCTGACCACAAAAAGAAATTCAATTTGAACTAAACGTAAATGCCAGGATGATAAAAGCATGATGAGCAGTTTCTTCTCTCTCTTTTTTTTTATTTTTTATTAGAGAAGTAAAAAAACCTGTCCATAGTAGTTTATCCCAATGTAGTCCATCTTGTCAGAAATACTATCCAGGAAAGAAAAAAGTGTTAATGAATTAGCCACTGACACAGCAGCAATGTCGAAGAGGCCATATGGTCGCATAAATGATACATGGTGTGCCACTCCAATAAGTGTGCTCGGGAGTGTGCTGAAACAAAACAAAAGTACAGATAACTTGCAATACTCATGATCGATAAATTAAAGGATGGGTGGACAAAATCTAAGGGAAGTCAAAAATCAGATCTCTCTGTGCTAGGCTCATAAAATAATGATTTCAAAGTAAAATGGAAGTCAGGTTTTTTCATCTCATCAGCTATATGTTATGTGAAGATTTCGATAAAAGATCTCCAAGATTACAAAATGAATCAATATATTTAGTATTATAACTCAGGACCCTCTCCCCAATCCAACACTGAGTGTCAACATGAATAGGAGGAAAAATGGATAATACCTTTTCTCATGGATATAATCGTAAGCCTTTGAGTGTGCAATTGCAATCCAATGCATGGCCTGGTTAAGGACACCAGTAGGTAAAGCTGAAGTGGCAACCTCAAGCATATCAGGATTACCACCAGGCCATGCACCGGCGCAGTAAGTGAGCATACAAAAAACATGAGGCTCATTAAACGTCACCCAGTAGTCCACCAGATCTGATACAGTGTCCACAACGAGCCTGCAAAATGGATGAGCAAATGAATGAGTTCATACCATGATAAGCACTGCATATTGTGAGTTTCATATATTAAGCCCCTGTTTGGCCCCCATTTCTTAGAACTCATTTTCCCCCCAACTCACATTTTACCAACTTTTATCAAAATCTACCAAAAATTTAATTTTTATCCAAACCAAACAGGGGCTAAGTTCTTGAGTCAGAATTAGCCAAAGCACAAGGTTATGGTTTAACATAACATCCCTTTGTCAGATGTCTTGTTTTGACTATCGATGACACCAAAATGTATGACTCTGCCTGCTTCAATCAAACATTAGACATTTTTTAACTTTTTGAGTCATAAGAAAATCAAATATACAAGCATTTTCAGACAACTCCATGTACCTTGCAATTTGGTAGCTCACAGTTCAGAGTTGCATTATGAAGATTCATGATAAAAAGTTATGAATCATGATGTTATTAGAAACATATAATAATAACTGGACCAGCAAAAAAGTAATGACTGCTACTTATGAAGCTTGACCTGGTAAATTCCAAAAAATAGTCAACAGTCTTTTCCAGCTTCCACCCTCCATACTCTGCTGCCCATGGTGGCAAGGAATGATGGAACAATGTCAGCATTACTTTCATCCCATACGAGTGAACTCTTCTGATGATCCATTTATATCGCTCCAATGCTGCAAAGTTGACCTAAAGGAGCTTGTCAGATAAATTCACATGTCTCATCATTATATAATGAAGAAGTCAATATAACACATCAGTGATAAACACACATAATTACAGTTCGTCGAATTTGAATTGCTATTTTTCGAGTGAAGTATATGGCATTGTGAACATGTAAGATGAACGCACATTTTACTATATTTTACGGCATGACCCTCAATGTAACCACATACAGGGAATGCTATTATGCAAGGATTTCTATTTTCATATGTTAAGACTCACGGTAATTCACAAGGAGATACTTACAGTTGCTATCGAACCACTCACTGGCTCCTCAGGCATGACCCTTGTCCAATCTATTCCCATTCTAAAGACTTGCACACCTGTATCTTTAGCCAATTTTAGTTCTGTATCAGGATCAGACCAAAACCTTAATCTCTCTTCCCTGAAAATGATTAGAGCCACGCATTGGTTCCCAAACATAGAATTTTTACAAAGAAATATAGCATCCAAAAGATCTCATGAGAAAAAAATGTGAAAGTGAAAAATGTCGATCCAGATTATTATCAAATAGGCCTGAGAAGGGTTTTGAGTAAAACTGCTCAAGATTAATCAGTGCTTAATTTTTCAGAAATTATGCAAGAAACATGGGGCGTACGGGTGTGGAACATTATGCCAGGAGGCGACGGTATGATGACATTCTTCAGCTGAGGCCGGTTCTTCCATTTCTACAAATTTCTCAATTCCTCTAATTCTTGCTTCCATAGCTATCTTAAGTGACTTCTTTCTCTTGATGGTCTTACTAGCTTCTCTTTCTGGTGGAAAAGCTTGCTGAGAACCACCATCCCCAGCAGCTGAAGCCAATATTGGATCCACTGGTCTAGAGCCTTCCTGAGACTCTGGTTGGTCACAGGGTCTTTCTTCTGCAAACTGAAGCCAAGCATCATCGAGCCTGTCTTCCACATGCGCAGGTGCTGTTGCTAATCCGAAAAAGAACCCTTTGTCTCCCTCTACAGAAAATCACAGAACATTTCTCACGTAGTATACATGTGAGTGGAAGTCATAATCCAAGAAAATATTACATAATAAACCGACGAAATATATTCAAAAAATAACTAGGGGAAGATACTAGAACTTCAAGCTACACTAGTTCTTTAATGAAGATATCACTCCCCAGAATTGGTTAAATAGCATACACCAACTTGATCAACATTAAACATTGTTTGACATTTTGATATTGTTTGTTCCTCCTAAAAACTTACGAAAATTACATTTATATGATAGAATAAGAAGTTGAAATTGAAAAACAAACACGTAAACAATTAGTTAGAGATATAGATATCACGTTCAGTTTGAGGAAATTCAAGCCCTCTATCAAGAGAATAGTGCAAGAAAAATCTCTCCAAAACAAAACCACCCAAATAAAACATTGTGTAGCTCAAATCAACTTGTAATGAAGATTGAACTAAAAGTTCCACCATAAATCACAAAAATTATAGCGTGAATGTACATGAAGCCAGGGGTGACAAAAAAGGTCTTTTATAATGGGCTGGTACATAGTGAAAAAAAAAAAAAAATTACCTAATTTTTTTTTTTTTAACCTAAAAATACTAATGAGATTGGGGCAGGACTGGGCCTGCGCCCCTGCATAAAGCATGGAGTGGGAGCATGGTACCCATGTGTGTAACAAGTGGCGTAAAATATAATGTCCAAGCAATAGGAAATATTTGAAAGTATTCTACTATTGAGAACAAGACTTGTCTTTGTTAAGTCTATCAAATTTATTAGGAAATAATACGTGATACACAATAATGATCTTGTCCACCCTTCGTCTCTCAGGAATAAATAATTTTATATTAGAATGTGATGTTCCTAAGCTAAGAACAATCATGCTTGGTGCCTCGATCATTGCCCGAAAAAATTGACTTCTTTCAAAACTTTTGCATCCACTACTGGAATCAGGATGCATCATCCGTAATTAAATACTAACAAAGGATGTTTGTTCAAAATATGTTCTAAGCTAACAGTGATAGAATCCTATCTTATTAACTAATACATTAGCAATTCAAATTATCCACAATTGAGAATATATTTTGCTACACTAGTGGAATAATATTTAATGAATACATTTATTTTAACTTACCTTTTCTTCCATTTGTGAGGTTACTTTCCATTTCTTGGTGACAAAAAAAAATCCGACCCGACCCGACTTGCAAACAAATTTATTTTATATAATCCTGCCAACAGGCTGGGTTCAAGCCAATTGCAGTAACTCAAGACCCAATTAAGAACCAATAGGCGGATGATCTTAAATGGGTCGGGTCGTCTCATGGGCGGAAGGGCATGGGGGCGAGGGCGGCGATCGCCCCTACAACTTTTAATTTTTTTCTCCGGGTTTATACAGATTTTTTTTTTAATATATACCAAATATTCAAGGAAAACCCATTTAACACGAAAAGATAAAGGTAAAATAAATGAAGTTACCGGCGGTCGGATTGACGTTGAATACGGCAAGAATATTGGAAGACTCGTCGATGGGAGAACGAAAAGGCTTCAGGTTCTTTTTTCGGAACCGGGAGAAGGAAAAGGCATTGGCGGCGACGGTGACGGAAACTATAATTCCGGCGAGTTTCGTCGCCGATACAAAGAGTGCCACAAGTGTCATTTTCGTAAATATCCGATTTCTAGGCTGAATCAGTGAAGGGGAGTAGCTAAAATAAAAAATTGTACTCTATATTTTATTTTTTGTATTTTACCGGCCGCATTGGTACACGTGTCCGACATTGGAAGTCAAATCCCTTCTTTTGAACCGATAATAATCCAAATTTGTTTTACTCTTAAATGTTTTTTTACTTTTCCATTTTCTATCTTATTTTTGGAAAGGATTAAAATAAAAAAAATATTTAGTAAATTTTAATAAAAGTATGTATAATTGAAGAGTTATAAATTTCATAAAATATGTAATTAAAATTAATTATTAACATTAATTTAAATTAAAAAAATTTTTAATCCCTACTAAATAAGGGCGTAATGTTTAAGGACAATAGTCTTTGTCGTTGTTTGATCCCATTTCCCCAAAAATATTGGCAAGCATATGCCCCTATTTGTTTTCCGTTCTTTCAAAATTATTTTTCATACACGTAAATACAAAGTGTGGTCATGTACTGGAATGGGGGAAGGGTGTTTGGGTGACTGCGACCTAACTATTGTGGTTCTTTTTGGTGTATGTGACCTTACTATTGAACTGTGACTTTGAAATTGAAAATTTGTAACTTAAAAAAAGAATCTGTGACCTTAATTTTTTTGGTCTGTGACCTCGAAATAATTTGTGACCTATAAAATTTTAAATATGTGATATCGAAATAATCTGCGATTTACAAAATTTTTTATCTGTAACCTCGAAATAACCCGTGACCTACAAATGTTTTGATCTGTGACCTCGAAAAAGTCGCCGAATCAGAGCAGTCGTCGAAATTAAGTGCTGCCGAAGTAGTCGCTGAAGCAATGGTAGTCGCCGGAGCAATGGGTGAGGTGGGGTGGGGTAGGGTGAGGTGGGTTAATTTTATTATATTACAGTTAAATATTTAATTTAATATAATAAGTCTGAAATGTAATTAATTAATTCAAGAAAAATCTGAGTTTTGTAATTTAAAACTTTGATACCTGATTTTTAATTTGTTGAAAGTAAATCTCTGAACCATAAACTTTTCCCATTTAAAAAAAAAAAATTGCGGATCCCATCTTTGTTTCACAGGTCCCTATACTTCAAAGCACGACAAATGGGATGTTAAAGTTATGTAAGCAAACAAAATATAACCCTTATTTGATCATCATTTTTTATAATGAATTTTTAAAAATGTTTGGGATAGCTTAAAAGTTGTTAAAAAGTTGAATTCAAAATCAACAATTAATTTCAATTACTTTTATCCACATTCCAACCATATACTTTATCAACTTTTATAAATTTTTGTTAAATTTTTTATCAGAAATAGGGGGTTTAACAATGAGCGTACCAATTTGTAACGAGTCACCGACCCCATACAATCCTGTTAAAGGGTCAACCCGTAAAAATGTGCATAAGCCCAGTATCGTTGCGGGCCACTCTATGAATTATGCCACCAATACTCCAATTAGTTTTGTACTTATGACATTTTTTATATTTATTATTTTTTTCTCATCTCCATCGTCATAAAGTTAAAAAAATATAGAAGTCATTATAAAAATTTAACCTTACAACATGGGAGTTTATTATAAAATAAAATTTAATTTTTGTTGATGACTAAAAATAAATTGGCAAATTTAGACCAACTTAATAAAAACTTAGTAGAATGGTTGCTGGAATTTATGGAAATTAGAAAAATTAAAGGATAATTTCATTGATTGAAATTTGGTGTGCATTGGAGACAATACATTGAGTTCAGCCCTTTGGAGGGGATCATTTTGTCTCTATTTATAGGCATCTAAATCTAGCAACTTGATCGTTCGACGTCATATCAGTTACAATGCCGACCTAAAAGTGCGAAGGTGGCAGGTTTAAATTACAATGTGATTGGTCAATGAGGTTAGCCAAACAGATCATCATGGTGCCTCGATTATAGTTGTTGTATAGGTCATGATTACCTAAGTTGATGATTACATATCACTTAGGTAATCATTGCTAATTTCTAATTGGTTGAAAATAAGGTGCTGATGTCATGGGTGCTACTTGTTACAAACGTTGGCCACAACAAAAAAAACCCAAGAAAAATAAAATCAATAGTTAGAAATTTATATCGTTAAAAATAATTCATCTTGTACCCAAAATATTTGATTAAATACAGTTTGACCTAGAAATTTTATTTTCCAAAAGGATATATGCAAGACCCATGCTAGACCTGACCCATGCATGTACCATGTTATGCAAAGTCGAGCTGACCGGATGAACGGCGATATGTGTGCGTGGTTCGAACTCAATAATATCTAGGTCCTCCCATTTTATACAAAATTGGGAGCCCTTTAGGATTCAAATCCGAAGGCCAAACTTGAACCTTATAAACCAAATATTTTCCCACTAATTTTCCTATGTGGTACAAATGTTAAACATTTCGATGACCCGTTCACTTTTCCCACATAAAATAGTCGCTATCATACTTTTCGATGACCTGTTCACTTTTCAAAGGCGATGAGTGCATTTTGTGCACATATTTAAGTCATTTTACTTGGGTT